GGGGGCCCAGGAGCCCGGGCCTCGCCCCGCCCCGCGGCCGCTCTCGGCTCTCGGGCGCCCCTTGCAGGCGGCCGGCCGGAGGCCCTTTCCCTGGGCGAGGCTGGGCCGGCACAGGATGGTTTGCAGAACAAAAGTCGCCTTAGGCTGGAGGACCTAGCCTGGACTTTGTGTGCCTGTGTGAGAACACGAGCATGCATGTGCATGCATGTGTATGTCTCTGTGAGAAAAAGTGTGGGAGGTTCTGGTGAGTCTGTGTGATTGTGAGTGTGTTGTATGAACTTGTGCTTGAGGTGTATAGACTGTGTGTGTTAGATGTGTGTGCGTGGATGGAATGGGAGTGTTTGAGTGTGCGCACGTGTGTGCGTACATGCATGTGCATGTGTCCCTAGTTGGGCATGCCCTGTCCTTGACTTTGTTCAGCTCTGGTGTCACCTCCTCTGCGAAGCCACCCTGATCTCCCCTTCACTCACAAGGCACATTTTTTCCTAGTGCTCCTCTGTGTCCTGAACACAACTCTATCACCCCATCGAACACACTTTATGAAACCTAACTGCTAGCATTCCTGTCTCTCCCCAGTCTGGGCAGGAATCTGACGTTGGTGACCTCATACCCTCAGAGTCTGCCATTGGACAGGGCATGTGGTGGGAGCTGGCTCCATGCTTGTGTCTGTGCCTATGTGTGTTTAATGTCACGTTGGCGATCACATGAGTATGTGTCTGAGAATGTCACAGTACCTGCGTTTGGGAGTGGGAGTGGGGAGAGATCTTACCTGAAAAGCTGAATTCACCCATTCTGTTTGGAGGCCTGTTGTCTTCCTCCCTGTTTTTTCACCCACATGCCTCCCGTTCAGGGCTGCCTGACCCTGGGACAAAGTGCAGATTATCTCACATGGTCACCTGTGGACCCAGGGTCAGCCAGACTGCTTCCCCTGTTTGACCTGATTTCAGTCAAAGCTTCTGTCCCTCTGCTGGATAGGATAAGGGATGCTTTGGGACACCAACCCCTATTTCCTGTTGGCAACTTGGGACTTGAATCTCTGGGATTCTTGTCCTCCCAACTGTCCTAGAATCAGTTTAAAATTGCCAGGCCAAGATCCCATGTCCCTCTCCAGTCCCTGAAGTCTATCATGTTCCCTCTGGCTACAACTTTTGTTCATCTTTATTTGTTCTGTTTTCTGTATACAAAGCCTAGGATCCCAAGCTCATTCCCTCTATGGGAAGTCCTTCCTTTTATCTAACCTATTTCTTCTTCAACCAGAGTCTGAGGTTTCTCCCCGTCTCCTCCGATGAAATAGTCCTGAGAGGGAAGGAATGGAGCTCAGTGGTTACAGCCCAGGCTCTGGACCACACTTTCTGGGCCCGAATCCCAGCTCCACCACTGACAAGATTTTTAGCCCTAGACAAGTGTGGCAGGCAGGGTTCCATCAGGAAACTAAGGGCTCTCTCAAATTAGATAATTTGATGAGTATTTTATAACAGGATTATATGCAAAGGTGGGCGCAGGGCTTGGGTAAAACGTGAGGGATAGTACATTACCTCAGATGGGCTTAGTTACCACCCTCAGGGTCCAAGAATGGTTTCTTGGACATAGAAAGAGAGGGACACTGCTAGGAGCTGTGACCTACAGCAACCTTGCAGGGGTGGGAGAGGGTAAATGCCCAGATTCCCTGTCCTCTGTCTCATCTCCTGTCGGTGCCCTTCTCCATTAGTCAAGCCCCACAGAAGCCACAGGGCAAGGCCTTCAGCCTCCTGGTTCCAGGGCAGAGTGGAGAAGAGTAGAGAAAGGATCTGGAATGGCAGCAGAAGATGCCCAGCTCACCCTGCTCGCCTCAGTTCGCTCATCTGAAAATCAGGCTGCTAATCCTATCTTCCAAGTTGTCATGATGATAAGGGAGAGGGTGTACAAGAGGCATTGGTGAACAGATCCAACTGTCTGCCTGTGGATTTTAATGATGAACTGACATCTCAAACTTAGTCTGTGTAAAACTGAAGCCTTGAATATTTTCCCCCGCAAGCCTATTCCTTCCCTAGTCTTAGTGAGTGGCAGAACCATGTACCCAACTACTCATGCCAGGCCCCTCAGCACCATTCTTTAGGAGACGAAAGCCTGTCTCCCTCTCTCAGCATCACTGTCACCCACCATGAATACACCTCATATCTCTTTCCCTTCTTCATCTCCATTGCCACTGCCCTAGTCCATCACCTCCCACCTAGATTACTCCTAAAATCCTCACTGGTCTCTATGTGCCTACTTTCTATGTTCCACCCATCAGCCAGAGGGATCTAGAGCATTAGTTGGGTCATGTCACTCCCCTGGGTAAACCCAGTGCCCTCCAAGACCCTGTTTAGTTCTCCAAACAGGGACTATGTTTCACCAGAGACTATGCCCCTCCACTCCAGACATATGGCCTCATTTCAGCTTTCCCTCTCCTTTGCAACAGGCTTTTTCCTTCCTCAGAACCTTGGCATTTTTATTTCCAACCCCACAGAAAACTCTTTGCTCCAGATTGTCCCCACTCGTTCCTTCTCATCATTCAAATTTCTGCTTAAACACTTCAAAGAGGCCTTCCCTGACCAAGTAATCTAAAATACACCCCTGTCCCTCCTCCCATTGTCTTATGTGTTCCAGCATCCTGGTCGACTCCATCATAGCACTTATGCAGTTTGTAGTTATAGATTTACTTGTCCGATACTTGTTTATAGTCTGTCTCCCCACCATATTGTAGATTCCATAGAAAGACAAGGCCCTGTCTGTTTTGCTCAACACTGTATCCTCAGGCCCTGGCACAGAGTAGGTGCTCAATGAATACTGGAGGGTGGTCAGTGAGCAAATGGTAGGCAGTGTTAGCATGCTACCAGAGGCCTTCCCACCACTCTGTCACAGGGCTTCCTATTTCCCATCCCCTCTCCTCAGGCTCCAGTCCTTACCCTAAATCCCCTGCTTCCCAGGGGCCATATCACTGGCCAAAAAAAATCTCCATTCAGGTNCTCCAGTCCTTACCCTAAATCCCCTGCTTCCCAGGGGCCATATCACTGGCCAAAAAAAATCTCCATTGATGACAAGTGATGACAAGTGAATGGATTGAAAATTTATCAGGAAATATGGATGAGAGAAGGGAAATGCCAGAAGACAAGGGAAGAGAGCCAGTAGGTCTAGGGGAGGGACTCTGTAGGGGGGCAGGGGGGCCTACAGGGTGTGTCCCTTTTCTTCTCTCTGGCTCCCCTAGATAAGACCAACAGTTCTGTCACCCTCTCCCCCTCTCTCTGCACACGCTTTGGAAGCCCCGGCCCACACTTTGGAAGCATGTCGATCCAGGAGGATGAAAACACACAGCAGCTTTGGTCCTGGATCTCTAGGTCCCAAAGGGACTTAGCGAAGTCCATCCTGCTTGGGGCTCCAAGAGGTACAAGGGTCAACAGAAGACAGTGAAAAGAGGGGGAAGATGAGGGTAGACATCAAGAGTGGGGGTGGAGGGTGCAAACGATGGGTATCTGCTGCTCTTTAGGAGGGTTTTTGGGATGGTCTGTGTTTATCGGGTCTCCCCTGTGTTAAGCTGGGGACCCTGGTCTGGGCCTCTTCTCCCAGCCCCTAGAAGGAAGGCAGAGTGGAGCCTGCAGCATGGGAGCCATGGCACACTCCCACAGTTCCTGGACTCTGACTCCTGGTGCACAGGGCTTCCAGTGACGGGGGAAACACTGGTGACACTTTAACCAGTAGGCAGAGCTGCTCCCCAGCACAGCTGGGCCTCATACCTCTGACAGCCTGACAGCATGGAGAAGATCACCAGAGACCGGCAGGCGCGCGCGGCCGTGGAGGGTACCGCCGGACTGGCCCCCTGGCCCCAGTCAAGCTACAGGGACCTCAAGGCCCGATTAGCATGGCAGGGGCCGAGGAAACTCAGAGGGGATGGAGAAGCCAGCAGCTGGAAGACAACAGGGACCTTAGAAAAGGGAACTGGGTTATTCTGGGCCTGGATAATGAAGGGCTACTGTGAACTAGATACCTGGGGGGAGGGGGGAGCTGGAGCTGAGGGAAGTCAGCAGCTCAGGGGCAAGAAGTTGGGAGTTTCGAGGTTTCGGATAGCTGGACTTGAGCCTGGAGTTAGTCAGACCTGGATGTGAATCCCATCTCTGTTACTTAGAAGTTATATGCTACTGGGCAATTTATTTAATCTTTCTCAGCCTTACCTGTAAAATGGGGATCATTGTATTTAATGGTGCCTGCTTGGTAGGATCCTTGTGACTATGTAAGATAATGTATGTATAATGCCCAGCTCATAAGAAGGGCCCCACAAAAACTTGAGAGGTGAGGGAAGGAAGAGAGGGTGTGCTGAGATGAAAGGGAGGAGAGGTAGGTGCTCATGCAGCCCCCTTCTACTGCAGGGCCAGCGGCGTTCCTACGGCTGGCCAGCGTGGCCCAACTGACCCAGGAGCTGGGCACTGCCTTCTTCCAGAGGCAGCAGCTGTCAGCTGCGATGGCAGACACCTTCCTGGAACACCTCTGCCTCCTGGACATCGACTCAGAGCCTTTGGCTGCTCGCAGTACCAGCATCATTGCCACCATTGGTAAGCACCCTCCATCCCCCATAGTATCACAGGGCTCCTTGGGTGTTTTTCAAGGTGCTTCCACATCCTTTGTCTCCTTTGAGACTTGACAGAGGTATTCATTTAGCAAATATTTGCTGAGCAGTTGGTAGATAAGGTTTTGGGCCCTGGGAGTTGATCAGTGAAATAAATAGACAAAGATCTGTGTTGTCAACTACCCTTGAGGAGCTGACAGTCTAGCTGGGTGAGACAGTTAATGACAAATACAATAATTTATTTAGTATGTTAGAAAGTTATCAATACTATAGAAAAAAGAACAATAGGGCATGGTGAGGGGACCAGAGATGCCAGGCAGGCTGCTGTCCTAAAGAGAAAGTCAGAGGAGCCATTATTTTGAAAATTAGACCTGAGCAAAAATACTTGAAGGAGATGAGAGAATGAGCCATGAGGATGTATGGGGAAGAGAGTTCCAAGCAGAGGAAACAGCGGTCAGCTGACCCCAAGTCAAGGAGGCTGGATCAAGTCAAGGAAACCATCAAAGGGGAAGAGTAGCAGAAATAAAGGGATTGCAGGGGAGGGGAAGATCATGTAGGGCTTAGTAGAATTTTTAGAATTTTAATTGAATTTTCCTCTGAGTAAAATGGGAAACTACTGCAGAGTTTTGAGCAGGGAAATGACATACTCTTAATTATGTTTTAATAGAACCACCCTGGCTGCTGTATTGAAAATAGATTGGAGGTGAGGTGGAGGCTGCTCCTGCAGCATTTCTGAGTCAGACCAGGTGGTGGCAATGGAGGTGGTGAGAAGTGATCAGATTCTATTGAATGTAAACTGTAATTGAAAAATAAAATTTGCCCTGGCCAATGTGGCCTAGTAGTTAGAACATCAGCCCATGCACCAAAGGGTTGAGGGTTCAATTTCCAGTCAAGTGCATGTACCTAAGTTGCAGGTTTGATCCCTGGCCCTCGTCCAGGTGCATGCAGGAGGCAACCAATTGATGTCTCTCTCACATCAATCTCTCTCTCTCCCCCTCCCTCCCTCTCTCTTTAAAAATCAATGGAAAAAATATCCTCAGGTGAGGATTAACAACAAAAAAAAAGAAAGAGAGAAAATTTAAATTAAAAAAACAAGTGATCAGATTCTGAATGCATTTTGAAGGATTTCCGGATGGGTTGGATGTGGGAGGGAATGAAGATGAAAACAGGAGTCAAGGATGACTCCAGGTTTTCTGGTGTGAGGAACTAGAAGGATGCATTCATTGTCAACTACCAGGAAAGACTGTGGTAGAGAGGCTTGGGGGGAGGAGATCAAGTGTTCAGTTGGGGGAAAGTTGAGTCTGAGAAGCATATTAGACATTCAAGTGTGATACAGAGTAGACAGTCAGATATATGCGACTCTGAGTTTGGGAGAGAGGTCTGAATTGGAGATATAAATTTCGATACGAAATTGGAGATATAAATTGTCAGCATATAAATGGTACTTAAGACCGCAAAACTAGTTGAGACCACCAAGGGAGTGAAGGTGAAATGATCAAGAAGAGAATGAGACATCTACTGTTAAGGGAAAGAAGAGCAAGTGAGTCTGAGAAGTCTTTGAGCAGGTGAGCAGGAGGAGACCTCATGCCCAAGTGGAAGAACTGGCTTCAGGCAGGGGCTGGAGAGCTTGGCCAGCTGACTCAGTTACACAGCTCCAGTCAGCAGAGCAGAAATGGGGTAGAACTCGACTCTCCTCAATAAAAATGAGGCCTGTCAACTTTACAGCCCCATACCCCAAAGGCCCTCACCTGGCACCCATCCCCTGCTGTACCCCCCTCATAGCTGGGGTTACACCCACGCTGCAGCACTTACACAACTGCAGACGTGGTTACCCTCAGGCCTGGCTGCGGATACTCCCCTCC